CCCCCCTCTCTTACCAAAAATCTTGGATACGCTTTTGGAGATTTTGGAGGGCAGTGATGTTTTGAAACCTTTTGATAAAGAGGAAATTACTCAATCTGAGTCGGGTAATCTGTTGATTTTGTTCCGATTTGGGTCTTAATGCTGTTGGATACCAAATTTAAATTTACTTAAGTAATGAACAGTGTGTTGCGGAAAAGTTTTCAATGCTAATTAGATAAGACAGAAACTCCCTCTCTCTTGGTACGCGCGCGTTGTATGCGCAAGTTATTATAATTAGATATTTAGATTGCAAACATCACGAAATGCTGTTGTATAACAATACCTCCTATAACCTACTAGGTTGTTTCCTTTTTCTTTGTTTTTTTATATATAAATTAAGAATGATGATTGCACAACTTGGATTGGCGAAAACCGTTTGAGGATGAAATTGTTTGATACAAAAAGAAAGTCGTAATGAAGTTCCAGTCAGTGTATCCAATTGGTAGGTTGGCCCTTGAGGTTTGGACCAAACAACTTTGATTCAAAAAAATCGACGGGGAAAGATTCAGAAAATAAATAAGATTGTTAGTTATCGTAATTTCTCTGTTTAACACCACCTCCTCCCCACCCCGGCCTTCTCCTGTAAGCAATTAATGTATAAAGTCGTGAAGCATGAAAGTATTGTACTTGAAAGACAATTATGATATTTGACTAAAAATCACAGTACCCGATCTTCCATATTTAAAGAGAATCTGCAAACCAATGCAAACAGATTCTTTGTATATATTTGAAACACCTCCCTCTTCCCCCCCCCCCGAAATGATAAATTACGGTATGCGTGTTCTAGATGTTATAGAATGTTTACAGGGCCGTACGCCGGATTTTTTCACCAGGGGGCATTGAGGTCTATATGCCGAAAAAAGTCTCAAACATTCGAATAATAATTAATGACATTAGTTAAAAATCGTAAATATAGTTTTCTCAAGGGGGCAATTGCCCCCCCCCCCTGTTTCCCTGCTGTGTACGGTCCTGAATGTTTAGGATTGTGATAATATTTAAGCCTGAAAAACAGATTTGCTTGCGAACGTTATGTAATTGTTGTAGTATAGAAATCAATCATATGTTTTTAAACATAAGTTATTATTGTAACGTTGGCTTGGAAGTGTTCCTGGCCTCAGAATGTTTGGCGAACTCCATTAAAATGAACAAAACATAAAAAGATCATATATTTTTAAAACACTTCGATGTCACTTTGTTTTATTTCAGCCCTGCTTTCGCCCATTTCATAATTTCACCCGCTGTATGACTACAGTTGAAAACGTTCTATAACTTCGCGGAAGTCCCTTTAAAATCATAGCTATTAGAAGTACGTCGCTAATGACTTCTTCGGCTGATTTAAGCGCCATCGAGGCAGTCTCCGCTCGGAGCATATAATCAGTCGTGTTTTCGTTCTCGCCCTTTTTCAACGAGGTCAGCTCCGTGTACACAGCGATGATTCTTGGCTTTCCTTTACCTTGATAATATTCACGTAGCACCGTCAAGGATTTTCTCATGTCGTCCCCTGCCTCTCTTATGATCAGAGACAAACTTCGATCGTCCAAGCATTAGACCAATTCGGCGAAGGCAGTTTCATTCCTTGCCTCATCTAGCTCCCGTTCGTCTGCGCTAGGAACAAACACGTCGTAAAGTTTCTGAATCCTTATGAATGCGAGAAACTTTACCTCCCAGAGTTCATACTTGCTTTCATCTCCGTTGAAGACAAGTCTTCTCCTGGGCCCATAACCTGTTGGGTTTTGGGGTGCAGCCATTTTCCACCCCTTTAACTAAGTACAACCTGACACGACAACTTTAGTGTTCAACAGTTTTATTTACTCTGACTTTACATAACAAAATTACATCTATATATAAGAGATTACATGATTATACATTTAGGATATATTACATTACGTTTTCATCCATATTACCACATTATAGGTTTATCGTTGGATAATCATTACAACATATATATGTGCGGAATTTATGGAATAATGTTCCTGCGTCATCTTCTCTAATCCTATATCTTTATATAATCATATTAATTACTAACAATCAATCAACAGGATATTATAGAGGATACTTTAACACCCCCACTTGCTCTTCATAATCATGTTCTGAGCAAATTTCTTAATTATTATTTTACACACTTAAGCTTACACTTACGCCCTAAACTTACATTCCTTTGGACCATATCCATTTTAAATTATGCGCTTGGTGTTCCTATATATTTTTGTTCTGTTTTATTTTCCTAACATAATACCTCCAAAACGTCCTAATTTAATCTTGCTGGCTGGCTTGGTAAAAATATCAGCTACATTTTCTTCACTTGGAATATACACTAGAATAATTCGACCTACCTGTATTTCTGATCTGATAAAATGGTACTTTATATCTATATGTTTTGACCTTTGGTGATGAACTGGATTCTTGGCTAAATCCATAGCTCCCTGGTTATCTATCATAATTAGTAACTTACCTTCAATACTTACCCCCATGTCCTTGCAAAGTTGTCGCAAAAATTTAGCTTCTTGTATTGCATTTGCGAGTGCTACATACTCCGCTTCGCATGTCGATAATGCCACGGTCGGTTGTTTGCGGATTTTCCACGATATCATTGGACCATCTTGTGTAAGCTGGAAATTGTAGCCTGTCACACTTCGTCTATCTTCAATAGACGCCCCCCAATCTGAATCACAAAATCCTTTTAAGAATTAGTGGAGAACATGATTTCCTAAAAGTTAATCCTAATTCCTATGTACCTTTCAAGTATCTTAAGACGTGTTTGGCTGTGCTTAAGTCTGCTTGTGTGGGCTTCGACATTTTCTGTGACAATTTTGTCACAACATATCATACATCTGGTCTTGTTCCAGGCATATGTAAATTAAGCTTCCTACCATTGCCCTGTATAATCTTGGAACAGTTAATTCAGGTGATTGCCTGTTTGAAACTTTCTCAATCCCTAAAATGCACGGAGTTGGTTTAGGTTTACAATCAGACATTTCAAATCTCGAAAGAATTTTCTGAATGTACTGGGTTTGATTCATCTTTATACGACTGTATTTAAATTCGGTACCTAAAACCATTTCAATTCACCTAAGTCCGTCATTTTAAATCTATTGCTCAACGAATCTTTTAAACTGTTAAGTAAATCGGAATCGCTAGCCGCGATGATATAATGTCATCGACCCAAATAATAACAATAACACATCGCTCATCGTCAATTGAGCGAACATACAGATACGGATCTGCAAGTGATTGTGTAAATTTCTCTTTCACCAAAAATGTATGCTGTAAATTGTTCCAATTTCTGCCGCTCTGTTCAAGTCCGTATAATGACCGGTTTATAGTTTACACACTAATTTTTCGCCATTGTTTCCTAATTTTTCGAAACCTTCGGGTTGTTGAATATAGACTCTCGATCGATAGAGGCATTTAAATACGCTGTTTTAACGTCCATCTGATGAACTGTCATGTTGTTCTGAACCATGCGTTGCAATAAAGTGGAACTGAACTCATACGTGCGGTTGGTGCAAATGTCTCTTTGTAATCAATGTCTTGCACTTGTGAATAACCTTTTGCTACAAACCTGGCTTTATATTTCTCTTCGCCGTTTTGGTTTGTTTTAACTGTATATACCCATTTTGCCCCCACTATACTTGCCTATCCTTACGATGTGGTACAAGCTCAAATGTTTCATTATCAGTTAAGGCTTTCATTTCTGTGTTCATGGCCTCTTGCCATCTATTTGCATCTGGTTGTGACTTACTGGAATGTTTGCAAGCCTATAACAATAGTCAACTGTATAACTTGTGTTATATGCAATTCATATCCCTGGATATAAATTAGTACGCAAAGACCGCACTTTTACTTCTCACGGTGGTGTTTGTATTTATATTCGCGAAGAATTTCAGTGTTTTCAGCTAGACGCTCTTGAATCAGACAACGTCGAAGTACTTTATATTAAAATACGCCCAAGAAGGCTCCCACGGGGGATTCCATGCATTGTAGTAGGAACAATATACCACCCGCCAAGTAATCAACTCCTCAATGATCGATTATTTAGTCAATTCTCTGTCGGCTATCGAGAGCGAAATCCCCAACTGTGGAATTATCTTAGAAGGTGACTTAAACCATCTTGACACATCGTCGATTAAACGTCAATTTAGACTAAAACAACTAGTGGACTTTCCCACGCGAGGCAGGAACACTTTAGATG